CACTAGTACAGCCTGCCATTTTCCCAGCTCTGTGATCATCACTGATTTCAATGATGTCACCATGCTTCATCACTAAGCTTAGGAATCCAGTGATGACCTTGGGTAAGGCCTGATGAGGACCCCAAGTTTGCCTCTCAGTGTTGATGCTTTTGAGAGCATCTGCCAGCAGCTTCTCTGTTCTTCTGTTTCTTCTTTGAGACGAGGGTTAATGTGGTCCAGGTTGGCTTTGTGTTTACTGTATAATGGAGGTTGCCCTTAAACTCCGGATCCTCTTACTACCTCCTCCCAGGTGCTGAACAGCCCAGCAGTTTCCTTGTGGTTGTGAAGGTTGAATGAGCTGGTATACGGCGGCAAGTACTCAGTAAAGGTTGGCAGTTGTGGCTGCTGCTGCTATTAACTACATGGTCTCTGGCAGTTTGCTTAGCCTTCAGTACTTAGGTACTGTAGTTTTAATCACCCCCTCTGTTTCTGCGCCCACCCCCCCTCCATGTAGCTGAGATGACAGGCATACACCACCTCTGACTAGCTGTGGGGTACTGCGAAGGCTTCCAAACATTTAGCTTGCAGAAAGCTGTGTGTGGCAGAAGATACAACGTTGAGGGCTAGAAAGAGCAACACGGATAAATTAATGGCCCAGAGACTGATACTGGAGTTCAGGCTTCAAGCTGAAGTTCAGAAAAGCAAAGCAGCGGCTCTCTAGCTCTCGCCTCTAGCTCAGGCTGAAAGGGCTGATCCATGCACGAGCTCTTCACCAGGTCTCAAGCTGCTGCCTCTCCTCAGCGTGGCTGGAGAATGGATGCCTCTCTGAGGCCTTGCTTCTGTCTTATATACTTCCCTAATGTTGGGATCAAAGGTGTGAGCTATGATTCTCTTTTAGACTGATTCACTCTTGTGTAGACCTGGGTGGCCTTGGACTCACAGAGATCTCTCTCTTAATCCTGAGTCCTAGGACTAAAGGTGTGTGCCGCCACCTCCTAGCTCCTGGCTGCCGGGATTAAAGGTGTATGCATGGCTTCTATGGCTTGTGGTTGACTTTGCTTTCTGAATCCTCAGTCAAGCTTTAATAAATCATAAATAATACGTCACCACTCTCCCCTTTTTGTTTGTAGATCAATGTACGGAACTTCAGAATGGCATTTCCCCACTGTCCATTTGCAGTACAATAAGACAAATTAATACAAATCAAAATAGTATGGTAGCAGCCTGTCACATAATTTGTGTATACTGGTGCAGGGACAGATTTAATTTAGTGCAGCTTTGGCACAGTCTTTTGTATTTCAGTTTATACAGCTGCTCTCCAAGGCGAGGCTGGCCAGCCGCAGCCGCAGCCTTGAGCGTCTTGCAGAGAGAATCTTTGTTCCTTGGGTGACTAGCTGTGTTCACCTCTTCCTTCCTTAGCTCTCCGCCATTTTCTGTTTCAAAAAAAAAGGGAGAATGTGTACGCACGCATAAGCATGACTGGTAAGTAATAATGAAAGCAATAAGGGATGCTAAGCTTTCCAAAGCTGGTGCCTTGTCTCTAGGCCTTCCTATGGGCAACCTGTGGAAGGGAAATAGTTCACAAATCAAACTGGGGATAGGAAGACCTCGGAGTGGCTGCTGAATCTGGTGATAGTGAGCCCTGGACGGGGGTGGGGGCTTGCCAGAAGCCATCTCATCAAGGTCTGTCATCACAGGCTCAGAGTGAACAGGATGTCACTAGTGGCTGTGACAGGGAGGTAGAAGGTCTTTTGTTGTTATTTTTATTTTTTTTTTTAATAGATGGGAGTTGAAGGATAGGAAAAAAGAATGAATAGAAAGCCTGATGTGGTGATACACACTGCTGAGACTACTTTCCAGCCTGGTCCCGACACCCTTCAGCCTCAAATAAGCACACGGCCACTCTCTTAGTTATAAAACTGTTGACTGATGAGTAGGGCTTCTTATGGGCTAGCTCTGTCATGATTATTAACCCATCAACCCATTTCTACTAATCTATGTATTCCCTCGTGGTCCTGACTTAACGGAGAACCCCTGGTACGTGCTATCCTCCGAGTCTCTCCATGGTGACTCTTCTGGCCATGTCCCTGCCTCCTTTCCCAGAATTCTCCCTGTTCTAGTTTCAACTATTTTCCTGCCTTATTGGCCACACAGTGTTTTATTCATCAACCAACAAGAGAAACATACAGAGAAGGACACCCCCATCACACGCACTGATGATCCCAGTCTCAAGGAGGAGAGCAGGGGGATTGTGAGCTGGAGGATGGTCTGTGCTACATAAGCCTTGCTTCAAAACGCAAGTGAAAGGGAAGAGAACTTCTATTCTCGATTCTTCTTCTAAATCAGCAGTAGGAAGGAGACTGAAGAGATGGTACGGTAGTTAATGAGAGGACAGGAGATTTGAAAAGTTACAAAGACAGAAGATGTGGTGCTGCACACATCTGATCCAGCTCCAGGGAGCAGAGGCAGGTGGAATTCTGTGAGTTCAAGGCCACCCTGGTCTACAGAGTGACACACGGCACATGTGTGGAGGCCAGAGGACAGCTTCCACTGGGCACTTTCTGGGGTCAAGCACACATCATCAGAGTTGGTGGCAAGGGCTTTTGCCAGGTGAGCCATGTTGTTGGCCCAGCATAAGATTTTATGGCGATGGTCATATAGCTACATGTTGCCTAACACATACCAGATTTCTGATCAGGTGAAGGAAAGTAGGTATTCAGTGGGCGACATTGTTTATAGAGTGACACTTTACTTTTTTGGTTTCTGTGACCCTGTCCTCCCTTCCCCCCTCAGTAACTCAACTGTTGCCAGGAGCCTGTCTTGCAAACAGGCATTTCTGTGGATAGGAGCCCCAGGCCTGCTGTGTTAACTAACCTTTGCAGGCTGTGTGCACTTAATGTAATCCTAGAAGGTGGGGGGACGTGGCCAGGGGGATGTTGGGAAATGGGAGTTATATATGGGCATAGGCAAGCTCCTCTCTTCCCGCTTGCCTTTAATAAACTGAGAATTTCAAACTTTGTTATTACGTGTGTGTATGATGTGCATATATGGGGAGGTCAGAGTTCTGGATCAAACTCAGGTCGTCAGGCTTACCCACTAAGCCATCGTGCTGGGCCTAACCTGTATGGAAGAGTTTTGTATATAAAAAGTTGGCAGTATGAGAAATCTCTCATTAAACAGAATGTCAAAGCTTATAGCAGGTCGCTTTTGGTTTTGTTTCTGGTTTCTTCAACACTTTATGAAACCAACCTCCTCTGCCCAGCCCACTGGAACACACACTGAATTTTATGGAAAATTGTGTTACTCGATTCTAGAATTGCAGAGACAGGCATTGGGTAGGCTGCAGTTTTGTCTGTTACCACAAACACTATGGTGATGGATTGCATTGGCATTGGTGGAAGTTATTCTAGGTAGTGGACGATGGTGAGGAGATGGGGGGGGGGGACAATGGCCACCACCAAACAAGAGATGATCAGAGTCCCAGCAAGGGTGTTGTGTGAGGAATGGGTGTGGAATTAAATATTCATAAGGGAGCCCTGTGTAGCCCTGGCTGCCCTGGAACTCACTCTGTAGACCAGGCTGGCCTCAAACTCAGAGATACCTGCCTCTGCCTCCTGAGTGCTGGGATTAACCACCACCTGGCTTCTAAAATCTTTCAATATCAGCTGCAAGTCCAAGAATCAATTAAATGCTGACACTGTCTACTGGGAATGAAGAGCAGATTCCTAAGTGAAGTTGAGTTCTGTTAAGTGGCTTCTTTCATGTGCCAGCTGCAAATGGGGTGCTCTGGTTACCCACACCCCTGCCTGGCAGGTATAGATTCGAGGACTTCTATAGCCTTTCCCACCTTAGGTTTGGTAATTACCTAGAATAGCTCACATAACTCAAGCTTATGACTCACACAGCATGAAGGTCCAACCCCGGGAAGTGAGAGAGAGCATTAGGCAGGCAAACCGCCCTCTCAGAACATAGTTGTGTTCAGTGACTTGGAAGCTCTCAGGCTTCTTTGCGTATGAGTAAATAATTATGAAGCTCAACCTCTGGTCCTCCTGCCCTCCCCAGAGTTCTGTGCACGGGGTTGAAAATTCTGATTGCTCCATCCTTTTGGTTTCCACCCTGTGTGGAAGCTTTCCAAGTCAGGAGGGGATTGCTGTGAATAACTTAAGACATACCACTCAGGGAATTCTTTTGTAAAAGATGTTTTAAAAACAAGAAGCCGGGCGTTAGTGGCATGTGCCTTTAATCCCAGCACTCGGGAGGCAGAGGCAGTCGGATCTCTGTGAGTTCAAGGCCAGCCTGGTCTACAGAGCGAGTTCCAGGACAGGTTCCAAAACCACAGAGAAACCCTGTCTCAAAAAACAAAAAACACACAAGCAAACATGTATGCAGGTGTGCCTGCATTAGTTTATGTGCGGGTTGAGTGTGCAGGTGCCTATAGCAGCCAGAGACTGTTGAATCCCCAGAAACTGGGGTAACAGAGCATTGTGAGTGGCCTGCAATAGACGCTGGGAACTAACCTTCGGGTAGAGCAGTTCATGCTCCTAACTGCTGAGATACTGCTCCTGTTTCGAGACAGCCTTACTTTATTTCTCTGGCTGGCCTAGAACTTGCTATGTAGACCAGGCCAGCATGAAACTCACAGAGTCCTGACTATGTCTGCTTCTTGAGTCCCGAGATTAAAGGTGAATACTACCACACTTGGCCCCTTTAAATTCTTTTAAAGTTGGGTGTGTATGTGTGTGAATTTGTGACTTCAGTGCAGTACTGTCAGCGGCCAGAAGAGGGCATCAGATTCCCCGTCCCCTCCCCTCCCGGAGTTACAGTGGGTGCTGGAAACTTGAGTCGGCTCAGCACTCTTAAACCGCCAGGTCATCTCTCCAGCCCCTACTCAGGCAGGACATTCGAGGCAAAGCTGCCGTCAGTTACGCAGGGAGTTCAGCTGCTACCCGAGACCTCGTCTAAATGAATGCGCGAAGGAATGAGTGAATGAAGTCTAAACTCTTGCACGGTTTTGTTTACAGCCTACACGGTCCAGACATCCGAAGGTGTCCGCCCAACAGCGGCTTCCGAGGCGCATTCAAAAGCTTTGAGTGTTTGCCGCGGACCTCTGGACCACTACGACTTTCTGATCCAAGCTCAGGAGCTGCGGGACGATGAACATCAAAGAAGAGTCATTCAGCGCTTGCAGAAGTTACTGGAGGACCTGAAAGGGTACAGCATAGAGGAGGAAGGGCTCTTCTCAAAGGTGAGGCTCTCGTGTTCTAAGATGGGTTCAGCGCTGCAAGGGCAGCCCCGAAGCTGCCTTAGCTGGGTGGACCCTGTGATGTTCGAACGGCTTCATAAATCGTGTAGCCCCGGCTAAATGAAGCTTCTGTGCGGGTCCCACCCCCCCCCCCATCCCGGAAGGAAGGTGGCGGAAGGAAGGGCTTGCGACCATGACTCCTCCTCTGCTTTGCTATGCTTCTGAGGGACAGAGGAGGGACACTTTGGTGGGCTCCCGAAGCCTCTCCTGCCGACTTCCATGCTGTCCCATCCATTGGCTCAGCCGCCTCCTTGTGACTGGGCAAACACCTCCCATCCCTGCCTTTTGCTGAGCCCTCCCTCCTGCTCCGAGCCCTTTCCCTCCCTTTCAGGACGCTCTCTCTGAACCCGCTTTATGGATCCAGTGAGGCCACGGGTGTATGGGATTTTGTTCCTAAAACTCCTGTAGCATGGAGTGCTTTAGTTACCCTGGATTTCTTCTTCTCTTCTTCTTTTTCCTAAAAAATCAAAACAAAAAAGAAAAACAAAACAAAAACGTGTGTCTGCATGTTGTGTAGCGCATGCGTGTGGAGGCCAGAAGAGGGCGTTAGAGGCCCTGCAATTGGAGTTACAGGTGCTCAAAAGCGGCCGTGTGGGTGCTGGGAACAGAAACTAGGTCCTCTCTAAGCTAAGAGGGGCCAATGCTCTTAACCGCTGAGCGGACTTCTGTGGGCAAGAAGGCACCTGATTGATTCTGTTTCTGAGGCTCAATGCCAGCCTCGCCTGCAGGCTGTCCTGCACCCCGCTGTGGGAGCTGCCTGCAGCATCCCTCGTTCAACTGGAAGGGGGGGGTCACTCATGCTCAGCCCTAACCTTTGGGTGCTTCTCCTGGAAACCCTCCCTGCACTCCTTACCCAGCTAACAACTTTCTGCCTTGATCACTCTTTGGTTTTAAGGCTGCTTTTGCTTTTTTTATTTCTCAGTAGTTAGTTAGTTAATTAGTGGGCAGGGTCTTGCTGTGTAGACCATGCTAATTTCAAACTCTTAGACATTTTTTTCCCCTTTTGGTGGTACTTGGGGATTAAACCCAGGACCCCACACATGCTAGGTAAGTACTCTAACCACCGAGTACCAGGCATACACCTCCACGGCAGGGCTGCCTGTGTGGGTGTAAGCTTCTCCTGGAGATGGATGAGCATTTGCCTCCTGTTCTCTGCGGTGAGGTTTTGCTGAAATTCGGCCACAATAGGAAAATCCATGCTGTGTCCCACTGTGGAAGCCAGCATCGTCGGATGAAGTCTCTTTAATAGTCGCAGAGCTGTACACCCGAGAAAGTTTCCCCAGCTCACTGGCCACCACGCTGATGCTTCCCATTACCCAACCATTCTTTTGTTTAAGGTTATTAGGAAAAGAGTTACGTGTAGCTTGTTTAAATCTGATGACGGGGCTGAAGAGATGGCTCAGTGGTTATGAGCACTTGTGGTTTTCCCAGAGGACCTGAGTTAGGTTCCCAATCCCCTTGTAGGTGGCTCACAACTGCCTGTAACTCCAGTTCTGGGGGGATCTGATGCCCTTTTCTGGACTGTGAGAGCACCTTCTCACACATGGCATGCATTGGTGCAGTTACACACCTGAACATAAAACACACAAGAGCAAACAAAAATCCCAACAGACAAAAACAATAACAAACTTAAAAGAAAACTCCAATGAAAGTAGATTTATTATTTTTTATTTATTTAAGTTAAACTTCCTTCCTTCCTTCCTTTCTTAGACGTGGTCTTACTACGTAGCCCTGGCTGACCTAAAACTTGCTACATAGATCAGGCTGGCCTCAGACTTACAGATGTCTGCCTGCTTCTGCCTCCTGAGTGCTGGAATTAATGGTGTGCACCAGCCAGTAATTTTAGTTTTAAAAAGGTTCTGGAAGGATTTGGGGTGCTAGATCAGTGACAGATATTGCCTAGCATACTGGAGACCCCGGCTTTCATTCCTACTACTGTAAAACGTATGAATAAGCGAACAGACGACAAAAACTGGGGGGGGGGGGAATCATTGTGAGTATTAAAAAAAAGTCATTTTTACTTTGTTATTTTACATATGTGTGAGTTTTGCCTTCATGTTTGTCTGTGTAACACATGCATGAAGTATCTTCAGAGGCCAGAAGAAGGCACCAGATCTCCTGCAGCTATAGTTACCGATGGCCATAAACCACCGTGTGGGAGCTAGGAGTCAAGCCAGGGTCTTGTAGAAGAGCAGCCTGTGCTCTTAACCACTCTCTCATCCATATCTCCAGACCCAAAGTCTTGCTTTTTCTGTAAATAAGAAGGCTTCCACTGATGGAAAGGAATGATGATTCCTCTGTGAGAAATAGATATTGAAAGTAAGACCACACGTGAAAACAGCAAGGAGACACACTTCCGCCATGTAACCAGGCTGCGCGGTGCTTTGCCATTCACTTAATACACTGACTTTGGCATGTTAGGCTGCGGCCGCAAAGTACCTTTAGCTGGGAGAGTATGAAAACATTATGAGAAGCCAGGAAGTTCACGATGAATGCTGGCAAGTTTGGTGACTGCTTCCGGACTATGGATTTTCCTTTTTCTCCCGTGGTGGAAGGTGGAAAATGAACTCCCCTGGTCCACTTTCATAAGGATGTTGATCCCATCCATGATGAGCTGTGGTTTGTTGGGAATTTGGTCCCTAGTGTGACCATGCAGAGATGTGGGGCTTGTAAGAGGTGGGGCTGTCAAGGTCCTTTGTCATCAAGGATGCTTTCCCTGAGAGGGTCTGAGGTTGTTCTCACCAGGGTTGTAAGGGTGAGCCTGGCTGCCAAGTCTTTGTCTTAGGTGTTTTGTTTGTTTTGTTTTTATTTCTTGAGATAGGATCCCTTGTATGCACACTTGTGTGCTGGTGTGCTGGTGTGTGTGTGTGTGTGTGTGTGTCAGGCAGTAGGTCAACATCAGGGCATCTAGCGTCTTCCTCTCTTTCCTCCTTCCCTTCCTCCTTTTGTCTTTTGTTTGGGACAGAGATGGGGGAGGGAGATGGACGACTGTGGGCATCTGTGTGTCACAGTATGCATCTGGAAGACAGGGGGGACTTGTGGGGTATTTTATTTCCTTCCGTTATGTGGGCTCTGGGGACTGAATTCTAATTATCAGAGTTGTCAGCAACTTCCTTTGCCTACTGAGCCATCTCTCTGGCCTTCCACTGTATTTTGGAGACAGTGTCTCTCACTGAATATGGAGCTCTCTGATTGGCTAGATCCACATGCCTCTGCTACCCCAGAGCTGGAATTACAGGTACAGACCACTGTGCCTTGCCATTTATGTGTGTGGTAGGGTTCTGAACTCAGGGCCTCAAGTTTCGGCACAAAGTAGGCTACCAACTAAAGCATCTCCTCAGACTCAAGGCAAAGTCATATATGTAGCTTTAGCTGGGGCCTAAAAATGAGGTGGACGGGTCCCATGTAGTAGCCAGTGTTATTCAGAGCGCCGGACAGTTCTTACTCAGTCACACGAGCAAATGTACAAGCCCTACGTGTGCAAACATGTTTCTCCATGGACGCATATAAACAAACAACAGCCAGGGTAATGAGCGGTCTGAAGTAAACTCAGTCCTATGCACCGTCCCCTCCCCGGGAGGGCACACGTGAGTGTAAGAACTCCCTGTTGTGAAGAGTGAGATCACAGACTCTTGTCTTCTTGAGTTTTCTCGCAAGCACTCAGAACGCTCCTCCGGTTACTTTATACTTGGACCATGTTTCAACACCTTCCCCCCTCCCCCTCTCTTTTTGAGACAGGACCCCTCACTGCAGCTGGGGTTTGCCTGTGGGCTGGACCAGACCCCAGGGAGCATCCTCACTCGCCTCCCTGGCACTACCATCACAGGCGCGCAGTGATGTGCTTGGCTTTTTGTGTGGGTTCTGTGTGTTCTGGGGATTTGAACTCCAGCCCAGGACTCAGACATCTGACACAGGCTGAGAAAACACACAGAGAACCTTTTCCGGTATTTTTAAGTAAGCTACAGACCTATTTCTTTTCAATACAAGGAAGGGAATGTGAATGGTTTCCCCAATGATGTCTGTGGAGTTCTTCTGCCTTAGAGCCGTGACTCTGAGGACTTTGAGTATGGGTCCACTTCTTCCCTTTTCCTCCCCTGCAGTCCTGAGAAATCCCTCCAAGTCTGCACTGCCACGATAAAAGGGAACGCGCCTCCTTCACCTGGCCATGCCTCCCGCAGTAAACATTTGAAGGCGTTCGGAGCATCCCCTCTGCCCCAGGAGCAGCGGACTGTGAGGGATGAGAGCTTGTGGACACGTTGTTACCAAATAAAACGTACAACCAGGTTAATCTGACACACTTAATGTATGCATAATTGTTATTGTGCTGGGAGGTAATTAGGCATAAATGATAAGTAGTCCATGTAAATCACTATAATTAGAATTACTTTTACACAGCCAAATCAAGCCTTTCTGGAGTCAGGGAGGGAGAGAATTAAAGAGCCTTCCATTCTAGCTCTCCATTAATCAGGGCTGTGCAGGCGCAGGGTTTTCTAGTCTCCGTAGCCTGTTTGTAAGGGAGCTCGCCTGGGGTGCCCAACTACAGTCACAATGTAGCCTGTTTGTAAGGGAGCTCGCCTGGGGTGCCCAACTACAGTCACAATGTAGCCTGTTTGTAAGGGAGCTCGCCTGGGGTGCCCAACTACAGTCACAATGTAGCCTGTTTGTAAGGGAGCTCGCCTGGGGTGCCCAACTACAGTCGCTCTTCCAGGATCGGTACCTGCTCAGCAGTGGACCGCATACACCATGGGGAACTCTGAAATGGTCTCCAGGGCCTGCTCCCCCTCCACATCTGGCTTTCTTCATGGGCGCTAGGGATCCGAACTTAAGTCCCCGCGTTTCCCCCCTGAGGCATCTCCCCAGCCATGCTTCAGCCTTTGTACTTCTGCCATTCATCTTTTACTGGTTCATAAATCACTCATTAATTTAAGCAAACGCAGTATTAT